CGGCCGGAAGCGGCCCCGCGCTCCCCCCCAGCCGCCTCTTCCTAGCACAAGCTCACTTTGCAGCTAGTCCTCCCCCACCCCCCATGAGCTAGGAAGCGGATCTGCTTCAGTTATTGCCATCTATCCCGGCAGGACTGAGGTCCCTGCTCTGCGGCTACGCTGCCCACGCCAGGGATGGGAGGCTTGGTGACAGGTGGCAAACTAGTCCCCAGGGCCTGCGGGTGCTTTGGTTTCCAGCCAGGGACGATGGGAACGCACAAAGGCACTGGCTGCCTGGGACGGTGCCGCCAGGCGGTGCTTGTCTGCTTGGGGGGGCGAGGCTTGGCTGACGTGGGGTAGTCATTTGAAGAAGAATCAGTTGGTTGGCCTCGGCTCGGGTTGACCGCGCGGGTGGTCGGCCTTGCCACCGGTCACGAGTTAGCTCTGTTCCCACCATCTGTCCTACTGCATCTCCCTTGTGTATCGATGGGATCTGTGCTGTCACGCTGGGGGAGCAGGCACCTGGATGCCGTTGTCTGTGGTGCACAGTTCAGGACTGGACTGTGTGGGGGAGCTGCTGTCAGAGTCAGTAGGAGCATCCCCAGAGAGTGCTGGAGTCCCACCGGGTCTGCGACCCTTCTGGGCTAGGGACAGACATTGCACACAGACTGGTTTAAGTGATCAGAAACTGGTTTAAACCTGTAACAGAAGAGATGTTCAGTGCACGTAAACCAGTTTGAAAATGGCTAAAAGTGGTTTGAGAGAAACCTGGTTATATGTAGTATCAGACAACTGATTTGGCTCAAACTGGTTTATGCAATGTCTGTCCCAGACCCCTTCTTGGTTTAAGTTAAACCAGAGTCCCCCAGCATCCCAAATGCTTTGCAGCCCTGAGAGGGGCTTTCTGCTCCCCAGCAGTGCTGGTCCCTCCCCTCTGCTCCCAGGCTGCAGCTCTGGCAGAGACTATAGGCATAGCAGAGTCTGCCTGGCTTCCTCCTGCTCCACTGCGCTGCCCCCACCACTCCCTGCTCAAGCAGGCATTCCCCTCTCCCACAGCATAGACTAGACCGTAGCCAGCATGTTGTATGCTAGCTAATGCTGAGAGGTGTCTGTGTAAGGCAGACAGGACAGTGTCAGTTCAGTGCCTTTCAGAGCTAATCTAACAGGTTAGGCAGTAATGTCCCTTTCTTGGAAAAAGTTGTTTAACAGCTTGAACTAATGAGAGAGGCTTTTGTTTTCTGATGGACTGATAAATGGTCTGTTATCCCTGCTGGGCTGGTCTGGAGCAGCAAAGGGGGGAACCCCTCCCCACTCAGTGTCCTGCCAGGGCCTGGCCATGCCCCTCTTAGCTCTGCACTATTGAAGGGGAGGGGAGCGTTTTCTCAGTCCGGAGGGGATGTCTATACGGTTACAAACCGGTTCAGGCTAGCCCAGGTTAGACTAACCTGCAAAGATTGAATCAATTCAGGCTCAGGCTTTTTGAATATTAGTCCCTAGCCCTGGGGCACAACAAGGTAGCTAGCGTGCGGGGGTGGGGGAATTGGAGAGGGGGAGCTGTACCTTCGGAAGGTAATGGTCTGACTGTGACAGAGGTGACACCTTCAGTCAGATCCCCTGTTTCCAGGCAGACACAGAAGGTCAGGTATGAAACATGCCTTGCTTTATGTGTTGGCGCAGTTAACAATCTGAGATTATTACCCTGTGGGTGACATGGAAGCCACGTTCTGCTCCGGCCCTGAAGAACTAGCCTTGACACAAATGTTCAAGTCATCCAGGACATCAAGTCTGGGCTTTTTCAGTGTCTCTTGGTAGACCAGCACTTCAAGCAAACAACAAGCTTTATTTTTTCCATAAAAGTCTTTTTGTATGTTCTTAATTTATACTGTTTACAAAATACAGTTAACCATCTTGTCTCAAGTGTAGTGAAATAACTCTTGCCTCCCTCCCTTTCTTTACTGTATATTGTGATTGCTGTGCCCAAGTGGACTGCCTGTGTTTACTTATCATTTTTGGTGAGGCTTCATCTATATCCCTGGGCTTCAGTGAGATCCTTTTGCAGATTTAGGAAAAGTGGTGATATGCTTAAAAGTGCCACCTGCTTGTGACAGTAAATAACACAGGTCTGTGATATTCCCTTTTCTTTGATATGAATTACATTAACAGTTTTTGAACTCAGAAATACCCTTGTTATCAGTTTTAATTTATTATGAATTAACACATTAATGAAACAAATAGAACAAATGGGGCTTTTACCATGTCTCAGAATTGCTGATCCAGGCTCTTCGTATTCCTATAGGTATCTCTGTGCATCTATATATGTTTCTAACCATACATATATGGTTCAGTTTTTGAGGTTTTCCATTTTTGTGAGGGAGAGAGATGCTAGAGAATGAGAGGTGCTAGTGTAGCATATGGGTGTGTGCTAATCTTTCTGGGTCCCAGAGCTCAACTCTTTGGACAAAAAAGTCTTCGATGCCATTTAATGTGAGTGAGAAAAAGTATTTTCCAGTATCCATTTAATTAGTTTAAAGCCTGGTCCTACGACTCTTAATCTCATTCAGTTAGGCAATCCCAGTGATATCAGGAAAGCCTCTCAGTATATGAGTGCTGGCATCTAGTTTTTATAATTTAGTTGTTTCTTGTTTAACTTCATAAACTTGTATTTAAATTTAGACCTTAAAGTAGGCAGGCCAGAACAAGTCTTAAAAATCTTTATATCATTAACTATTAAAGAAACTGTACCTTTAAAGTATTCAGTTTTGTTTTGTTTTTTTAAGTCTTGCAGGGGGCTTTCTTTGTTCTCTCTAGCTTTTTTCTTTTTTTTAAATTCTTGCCAAGTTTGTTGAGAGTGAGTCAGGTGTGTAGGTTGTAGCCGTGTTGGTCTAAGGACATAGGCAGACAAAGTTCTTTGGGTGAATCTGATATCTTTTATTAGACCAATTTAAATGGTTGGAAAATTGGTCTAATAAAAGAACAGATTCACCCAAAGAATGTTGTCTGCCTTGAGAGTGAGCCTGAATTTTCTACCACCTGCTGTGGCAAGTTTGCTGCTGCTTCTGTTTTTAACATGAGTATGTGGGCATGGAGAGAAGAAAAGTCTTATTCACTCCAACTTATCACCACCTTTGCTGTAACATGTCTCTGTCTTTTTTCACTGTTTAGGGAGAAGGGTGACTTACTGACTACAGATAAAGATGCTTTCTGTCATGGAAGTAGTTGAAATAGGGAATTCCTTTCCTCATGTATCTTAAATCACTGTCTCATTAAAAACAAATTGTATACTGAAAATAAACTGAGGCCTTTGGATAGGGTCTTCCCTATAACTTTTGCTTGAAAGCCTACCTGTATTGGGAATTATCCACAGAATCGTTCTGTGTTACTTGGACAACAGCATTTTCTTTCTGAAAAATAACATATAAGGGGAAAGACTGAATGTCACATCATTGACTAATGTAAGAACATTGCTTATCCATTAGAATCTTTGAAAAATTGAACACAATACACATTTAGGAGCCTCTCATGTTTTGGGATGGGAACAATTCATAGGGAAGTGGATTTATGTTAATTGCAGCTATGTAGCAGACTCATCAAAAATCAAGTGCCTTAAACATGAATTTTCATTTCTACCTAAGAGAACTTTTAAAATCTTTCCAGGCTCCTATGCCTGATGAAGGGTACCTGTGCCTGAAAGCTTGTAAATAAAGACATTTTTTTGCAAATATCTAGTTGGTCTAATAAAACATATCACCTCTGCCATGAGTTTTGATCCATAACAAATTAATATTTCAAAGTTAGGACTGCTAAATGCATCCTCTACCTGAACCTGTTTGGAAAGTACACATTAAAAAATGATTTGGAGAAGTGAAGCTATATGGCATCTTATGAAAAATTTTGCAGGATGCATCATGTAAAGCCACACCAAATTTAACATACTAAGTTGATATTAAATTTGAGAAGAAATTGTTATACAGTATCGCCAGTTACAAGTTAGCAGAAAAAGCTGTCACTTAAGCTAATTAAGGATGTACTGTACCTTTGTAATTAAATATAGGATTATAGAAAATTAGGGTTGGAAGGGACCTCAGGAGGTCATCTAGTCCAACCCCTTGCTCAAACCAGGACCATCCCCAACTAGATCATTCCAGCCAGGGGTTTGGTGAGCCAGGTCTTAAAAACATCAAAGGATGGAGATTCATTCCCCCTAAGTAACCTATTCCGGTGCTTCACCACCTTCCTAGTGAGAGAGCTTTTTCCTAATACCCAACTTAAATCTCCCTTGCTGCAATTTAAGACTTGCTCCCTATTGTGTTATGTCATCACCAAGAACAGTCTAGCTGCATCCTCTTTGGAATCGCCCTTCAAGTAGTTGGAGGCTGCTATCAAATTCCCTCTATCTTCTCTTCTGCAGACTAAATAAACCTAGTTCCTTCAGCCTCTCCTCCTACGTCATGTGCCCTGGCCTGAACCATTTTCATTGCCCTTTGCTGGAC